GGGCATTGAATTGTTGACTTCTATAACCACAACCCCCAAATCACATGTGTACCTCTGTGCCAGTGAATTTTGCATGTATGCCTTCCGTCAGGGAGTCATCGCAGTTTTTACATCAGTTTGCAGTCCTCAAAACATCTCTATTTAAACCGTGCTATTTACCAGCCTCACCTGTAAACGTTTGGTGTGGAGCTGCTTGCTTGCAATGCTAATGCTTTTTGGAAATGTCCGGCATTACACTTTAATTTCCTGGTCATTGGTTTCTTTTAATTGCTCTGAAATTTATTTTAGAGAAGAAAGCAATGACAATCAAGAATGCAGGGGACTGCATTTGAGGACTGGAAACAGAGTACAGAAAGGAGCCTTTCACTTCAGAGCTGCTGGTAGGAATGCAGCTCAGTTTCAGACTTAGCAAAAATCATTACTGTGTGATGGCTTCTTGGTGCCCTGCACTCTACGTCCACAAATGAGTCAGTGTCCACATCACACAAACCACCAGAACAATTGGTGCTACTGTAATTGGGAGTCTACTGGCAGCACCAGTGGAAAGGGCAGGGACTTGAATGAGCATGGAAAATGGGCTGCTTTCTCCCTGCTCCCTCAGGTCACTTTTGAGACATATCTGTGTGAGGAAACTTAGAAGACATTTGACCTGTGGTAACTCTCTTCTGGAGATAGATAGAAGACTTTACCTTCCCTTACTGACAATCTGACACCCACTAACAAACATGATAGTCAAGAAAAATAAAGATCATTATGGAATCATTTAGTGTGTGAAATCACGAAATAAATAAATAAATAAGCTAATTATGATTGAAAAATCAACAGTGAAATCCAAATGCTGACTTGAAATGATAGGAGCAGAGCCAAACAAATATTGTTAAGCATGACCACTGCTGGCAACGATTGCCTCCCTCAAAAACACAGGGAAATCCTGCTCCTTTAATAAACCATTGAACAGTTTCTTTGAGTTGAATCCCTTATAGGCAAAAATAAAGGAGTGCTTCCACTGTTCAAACATTCTCTTCGGAGATGAGAACGTGGATTGATAGAAGAGATGTTGGCCTTTATTGAGCCTGAGATGATGCCTTGATGTCATGGAAACAGCAACTGGAAGGAGAGCTCTCAGCAGCACAGGAGACCATGAAGAGAGTGCTCTTAGAGAGAGCCAGGCCAGCCAGCGTGCACGTCAATCAGTGGTGGAGGTTGGAAGGGACCTCTGGAGGTCATCTGCTCCAGCCCCTGAACTTGGCACTTCCACTGAGTCGTCTGCTGTGCAGTGGGGAGTTCCTCATCTTAGAATTTGTATGCTACCATTAGTAATACTAAAAAAAACTGCCTCTGGCAGGAAACTGATTGTGTACTACCAAAGATGAACTTAGCCCCATAGTTCCTGCAAGCTTCAAACAGTTACGCTGTGAAGATGTCTCTTAATATGCTGAAATGACACAATCGCATATGCTGATTACAGTGGTGAATGTGATAAGAATTTTTGACTAAGTGAAAGTAAAAAGAATGTGTCTGATATCAAATAAGTGCATTAGCAAATCTGAATGTTCTGAGACAGCCTGGACTATTTGTGAATTCATGTCAAATTCAACTAAAAACAGAATAGAAACTTCAACCTCAAGTTGAAGTTTTCCACTGCAGTTCCTCGAAAACAAAATCTTTTAACTTTTCATGTTGAAACAGTTCAAAAACTTAATTTAAAAAACTTTAAAATCATTTCAAGAGTGCCCCAGACCCAGAAAGCTTATTTCTCAGTAATTACTTTGGTGTGTGGGAGAGGGGAAATTCAGAGTGACCCAATACGAAAATTTGTGTGTGTTTGAGTGTGTACATGTGTTGGGGGGTGTGTGTGGGGGGTGTCGATCACAAAACTGAAAGAGAAATTATTTGTTCTCAGTTCTGTAGCTGTAACCTGCCACAACTATGCTTTTGTATTTTTGGGCTTCTCTTCGGTAGATAATGCTACCAGATTGTGTAGTGTTGTTTGTACAAAGGAGACAAAGATTTCGATACCTACGTTCATTCCCAATTGTGTGGATTTGAAAGCCAGGGCTGTGAAGGTGAAAACCAAGGGCTCCTTAGTCTCTTATGAGATATACCTGTATCATGAGAGTGGTGGGAAATAAGGACATCCTTTCAGGGTAAATATGGAGAAGTATTGTGGAGCACCACAAAGGTGTGATGGCCAACTTCAAAGTTTCTGGGAGCCAGGGGATAACAGCGCCCAGAATGCAGATTTCAGAGGTGTTTTTTTAAAAAAAAAAAAAAAAAGTGTGAGAGATTTCAGCGTCCTGTATCACACCGCTGGTTTCTTTTAGTGAAGAGCATGTGGTGCATATTTTTCCCTTTTCTATGACCAGTGCTGAATTCCTCAGGGAACTGGTGATTCTGCAGATAGAGCGCTGTGGAAAGCTCGGCCAGGCAGTGCCTGGCCCTACTCTCCACGGGCAAGGAGCAAGAGGGGGCCGAGGGGCTTGTTGTTAAGCAAGGAAAAACCTGCGAGGAGCCTTTCTGCATTTGATCAGCCAAAGCAAGATGCTGAATTCAGCAGAGGCTGAATGAGAACAGCAGCAGGAGGTGGGATGCGGGGTTTAAATGGCAAAAAAGCTTTTAATAGCAGTCTTTGTATTATAATAAAAGTGTTTGTTTCAGCGTCTCTGCCTGCCAGTGTAAGCAATATAAGTTTACAAGTAGCTGATATGTCATGTAATAGAAATGCATTTGTCCATCGTGAGTGCCTGTTACTTGGCAAGCAGCTGACTGGTCATACTATTAGGCAGACTGTTGTTTCCACAGGCAAAGAGGGATATGCATCCTTCTTAATGTGAAGAAAAACCCGGAAAGGCCTAAGCCGTAATACATAACAACACAAAGCGGTATGTGTGAAAGCAACGCATAAACCCCATTGACTAAAATAGTACAGGGCCAGAGCACTACTGAGAAATATGAAATTATTTTTGAAAAGGAGCTTTCTGAGGTAAGTCAGAGGCCAGAAAATGAACTGCTTTTGTAAATTTCCTGTAATACCATATAGCGAACATGGTTACACATGAATTAAACCATGATGTATGATTTGGCTTCTTATGCATTAAAAATCCTTTAAAACTATAACTGCAGTGTTCATTCCCAAATGATTTTACTTTATGTATTTATTTAGAGAAAACTGAAACAGTTTGCCATTTATGTGTATTCAAAAGCTGCATATTTCCAAGACTATAAAGGAAACCTTAAAAAGAAATTACTTTCAGAACTCAAATAATGACATTTTAAAATGCATAGAAAATGTATTAAAATGAAATAAATTTTAAAAAGAAAATCTCAGTTGTCTGGTTTTGGCTATTTGATCATAACAAGTGATTGTGATGCACACATAAAACTGGATACTGTAGATTTTTGTTCATCATGTGTATTTCATTTTATGTAATGCATTTGCCTGAACACTTGCTTTCCACATTGTGAATTCTCTTTTGTATGAATGTTTTGAAACACTTAAAATTGGAAATATAGCTGTTTACAACATTCTAAATTTGTTCCTAAACTCTCACACAGATTTTGGGTTGATGTACACATGCACAATATCTTAATTTTATAGTTCTTGAAGTGAAGTATTTGTATTTATAATAGCAGGGTGACACCTGTAATGTTTCATTAAACATCAAAACTATATAAATAATACTTGGATATAGGAATTGGGCAGCATACCCTTAAGTATTGGTGGGTTTTCAAGCTTTTTCAAGCACCCACATCTTTCTAAGCACATATAATATGAAAGTCCAAATTATATATAGTAATGTTGCTCAGGTTATGTTCTTAATAAGCAACTCTAGAAAATGTGCAAGCTATTAGAGCAATACTATTCCATTCATTTATACCTCAGGAATATTGGAAGAATGAGATTTGTTAAAATTACCACTCTCAAATAACGCCATTGTATTAATTTCTCTGACCTTTAACAGAAAAATTAATCACTGAAGAGGATTTTTAAAAAACTAATTGTTTGAGGATAAAATTCACTCAAAAGTGTTGATATTTTGCACATGTTGCTATTTAAGGTACCTGTAAATGTAACCTTTAATGTAACGGTTTTCAGCAAGTCCATTCTGTCATGACTGCTGTCAAATAAACCTTTATATCACCCTGCTCAGCAAAACCTTTGTACTATCTTTGAAGCAATGTGCTGTTAATTGCTTTCTTTGTAGGCAGCTGGATGGAAGAGACTATGTAAATAAGGGTTTCACATTAGTGAGCAGTGATAATTAGAGATAACTGACTTTTTTAAGGGGAAGAGGCCAAATTTTCTTCAGTTATGTAGAATGTGGACTTTGGACTAAGATTTGCTGTGTCTTAGGTGCAGCCTGTCCATTCCTGATGTTGGCTTATTCTCAGGCAGTGTTTTGCTTACCCCCTTGTAGCTGTGCTTACCCCCTTGTAACTGTCTGTACAGTCTTTCATAGGCAGAGCACAATTCTGCAAGCGACTCCCTGTCTTGGTGGGCAAGATGTCAGACGAATGGTCGATGAAAGAGGGAATGGCTTGATTCAACCCAAAAGTTTTTTCCATTGTGCCACTAACCGCCCCCCCCCCCCCCCACAACCTAATCACCCCACCCCCCCTCTCGGACAAT